TTGCCCCTATGTCATATAAAAGCTAGAATGTACATTTGTTAAAACAAAACACAACACTAGGTGGGACAGGAGTCAACTACAGGACTTTCTTCTTTAATTGCATGCGTGCTCAGGCACTCACTTATTAAGCATCTTTAACATTGTTCCTGGACCAGAATTGTGCAATTATTTTCCTTCACTAATTACCTTTACTTGAGGTTTTTAAAACCATCTTTGAAAAGAGCCATTTTGCTGGAATTGTGTTGTTGCTCAGTCCTATCCTTGGGGGAGCAGCCTCAGTGCAGTATCAGTCACTGGGTTTTTCCAAGGGCTGTCATTTAAGCAAACTGAATGCATTTGTTTTTAACTTGTTCTTTTGCCAAATGTCTGGAGAAGGGTGGATGCTACAGAATCACCCACCAATCATGGAAAGGGCTTACAAATTTTTTTTAAATTACTTGTTCTGATTATGTTCCAAGCTGGCTTATAGTTAGATGCTGCTGCCTGTGTCTTCCAAACCTTACATTTTAGTACAGTGACTTGGGTTCAGCCCTTTCCTTCCCTACAGTCCTCAGCCAGATTGATGATGGAAATGGAAGGGTGATCTTAGGGAAAGGCCCATGATGGTTCCTTTCAGGGAGGTGGAAGCCCTCGGTTGGATGCTTCATTCAGTGCTTTAAAACTCAGAAGTTGCAAAATGATTTCAAGGACCGGAGTGGGCATTCTGTTTTATAGGATAGGACTTTACCCCTAGACTTTAATCACAGATCAGGTTTCTTGCCAACAGTGATGCAACGTTTAAGCAGATCTTTCCATTAACCACAGATAGAATTTTATCTGACAGTTTTGTGTAGAAGAGCCATTAGAAGTGCAAACAAACAAAAAGTTCCTGGCAATAAAAGTACATAGACGGTAAGTTACCAAATTGATCTCAGGGGTTGATGAACTGTGGAATGGGCTTTGGGAGAGGCTACTGCCCAGTAGATCTGCCCACATATGGAGAAGAGAACTCTGGGGCTGTTCTAACCAGTTGTCACATAAACCGTCACCCCCATCTGGAGTGATCAGATAACAGTGACAAACTGTTTCTTTACATTCTCAGTGTAACCCAACTGGTTCTAAGTGTCATGGCTACTGTGAATTGGTGAAAAGTTTGATTTTTTTTTTTTTTTTTTTTAGAGACAGAGTCTCACTCTGTTGCCCTAGGATAGAACTCAATTTCTGGGCTCAAGCAAGCAATCGTCTTGCCTCAGCCTCTGGAGTAGCTGGGACTACAGGCATGTGCCACTATACCCAGCTGATATTTCTATT